ACGTCTGCCACGGCAGCGCAGCCTTTGCCGTGGGGGTGCCGCCTCCTCCTCCTCGTCCTCCTCACGGCCTCGTTTCTCCTCCGGCAGAACGAGGTGCAGAACATCAAGTTCAACAGCTCGGGGCAGTGCGAGGCGCCGCTGGTGAGGACGGACAACCCCAAGAGCTGGTACGAGGACGTGGAGGGTTGTGGCATCCAGTGCCAGAACCCGCTCTTCACCGAGAAGGAGCACCGTGAGATGCACGTCTACATCGCCGCCTTCAGCTCCGTCACCATCTTCTGCACCTTCTTCACCCTGGTGAGACGCGGAGGGGGACACGGGGAGGTGGCCCCAAAAGGCGACCGGGCACCAAGATGTCCCTTTCTCCGCCAGGCCACGTTCGTTGCCGACTGGAGGAACTCCAACCGCTACCCTGCCGTCATCCTCTTCTACGTCAACGCCTGCTTCTTCGTGGGCAGCATCGGCTGGTTGGCGCAGTTCATGGATGGCGCCCGCGACGAGATCGTGTGCCGGGCCGACGGCACCATGCGGCTGGGGGAACCCACGTACGTGTCACCTTCGCCTCCATCCAAGAGGTGTTCCCGAGACCAAGAAGGGCTCTTGGGGTTTCCTGCCCTCTTGGGAGCATGGAGGATGCTCCACTCTTGGGTAGGAGAGACCTCCTTCCTCCCCATGTCCTCTCGTGGAGGTTGGTGACACTCCTGTCTCGCCCCTCCCCATAGCTCCAACGAGACGCTCTCCTGCGTCATCATCTTCGTCATCGTTTACTACTCGCTGATGTCGGGTGTCATCTGGTTCGTGATGCTGACCTACGCCTGGCACACCTCCTTCAAGGCGCTGGGCACCACCTACCAGCCGCTGCTGGGCAAGACCTCCTACTTCCACCTCATCACCTGGTCCATCCCCTTCGTCCTCACCGTGGCCATCTTGGCCGTAGCGCAGGTAACGGGACCACGATCCCGTGTCCTGGCGGTTCCCTGCCGGGGTGATGCGCACGGGGAGGGATGGCCGCGGCCAACTGACCCCCCCTGTCCCATCTTCATCTCTACCAGGTGGATGGTGACTCTGTCAGCGGCATCTGCTTCGTGGGTTACAAGAACTACCGCTACCGGGCCGGTTTCGTCCTGGCGCCCATCGGGCTCGTCCTCATCGTGGGAGGCTATTTCCTCATCCGGGGTAGGTGGGGGCTTGCCCCTGTGCAGGGACAGGGGCGCTGTGGGTGTCCCCCCTCCAAACCCTAACCACCTCATCCCTCCACCGCAGGGGTGATGAC